TTCGCAGACTTCAGAAGGCACTCACAGCAGTTGTTGCTGTCACGATTGAACTTGAGCTAATGCAGTAAAATGAGACACTCCAAGACCTGATGGTAGAGAGATGAACCAGAGCATGACCTTCAATGCAGACTGCAGAGTTCACAAGTTGCTTAGCGGTCACATTAGGGTCAACTTTTGAGATAAGGACGGTGAGGTACGTTGTCCATCATGGTGAATTGTATGTGTGGATTACATAGATTTATGTTTTATAAGACATTAAACCTGCAGTGTTCCGGTCAGAAACAGCACTGGACCATTTTTGTGTTTGGGCGTTTCGTCCAAGTGAAGCAATGAAAACTCACAACTGCATTTCTTAGCATGACAGGACAGGATGATCACACTGACATGTTTAAGACGGGAAATTCACACACTTTAACTTTCAAAGAAATTGTGATGCATTAGTACAAACAAATAATTATTATAATTATAACAAATTAAATCAATTTCAGTGAAAGGTTTATGTGATATAAGCAGACAGGCGATGCAGGATGAATTATTCAGATTTATTTATTATTAACTGATAAATTTAGATTGTCCAATTACTGTTGCTGCTAATTCCCTGATTAATACATTTCTTTAGATTTGTCCAATTTTTGGGTTAAATTGATTCATGAATAATTAATTGATCACTGATCAATTAATTATTGATCAATTAATTATTGATCAGTGCAGCAATACAGGTTGCTACTATGCACCTGTATTTATAACTCAGGTTCATAGTAGCAACTCTTTTTAACCCAGCACAAGCTCTCTAAGAAGACGAGGAAAAACTCCTCAAAAACTTGAGAAGAAACCTCGGGAAAGGCAATTCAAAGAGAGATCCCCTTTCCACGGATTGCTGGGGGTGGGTGGGGTATTTTCCATTTATGGACAGAAACCATGTATGGAAAAGACAATACATGGAAGTTCCACTTCGATCTCCTGGTTTTTGTGGGGTGCCTCTACAGGGGCAGGACTGTAAAAATGAGATAATTGTTAAAAACGTACACAGATATGTGACATGGCTTCAGAATTTGATCAAATACTTCTCTGTTAGAGCTTATGCTCTGTAACCCTGTTGTGCTTGGAGTCGATAAGTCATTTGAACCAGGGATGATTTCGAAGTTCCTCTAGGGTGAGGCGGTCTTCATTTTTGGCTGCCAGGCAACCTAACAGAAAACTCTCGCAGTCTGTTTGGAAATATAATAGAGGGTGGGGTTCACGTTTGTCATACAAAAATCGATATGTGCATTACCGATACAGATAACACATTAAACAGAATTTTCTGTTTTGTAACGCAAATCATGACAGGTTAAAGAATTAACATCTGGCTTACTTTCTGAAATATCGGTACGCTTTGCATACATGTTCTTGGAAGAGGTGATGTTGTGTAACAGCCTATCCATCACTCTGCCCAGCTGCAAAACTGTGATGCAATCGGCTTTTGTGGCGTTAAACAGCAAGTTTAGAGCCGGTGATTTTCTCCCTAAAATCCAAAGAGAAATTATTAATGGTAAGAAATGAATGTGGACACAAGGCGTGTGGGCAGGCAAGAACATGTAAACAATGAGGCTGATGACCTACCATTTCTTCGAGTGACTGCTTCTGGTGTAAAAAAGACTCCACAGCCAAAATCAATGTATTTGACACGCGGACGTGCTAAACGTTCAGCTGAGTTTTCAATTATAATATTGTCTGTCTTAATGTCTTGATGGAAAACACCCTTGGAGTGCATTTCAGTGGCTGCATCTACCAACTGTCTCATTATGGCCTGACAGACAAACGAAAGATACGTTAAAACCATAAGATCTAAATTATTCATAAAAGACAAATATTTTATTCTTGCTACTCACTGACCTTAATGTCGCTCTCACAAATCCTTTCTCTTCTGTTTGACAGGTAAACGTCCAAGTCTATGTTGTTTTTGCCCCCTTCAAAGACCATAATAAGTTCTTTTTCTAAGTCATACCAGTCGAGTAAAACTGGGGTTACATTGCTGCTTGTAGCCTCTGGTCCTGCCCCCACTTTTATCAGCAATGCCACCTCCAGAGGAATCTTGGTCATTCTACCATTAAGAAGCTTTAGAAACAGAACATCCGGGTCAGTTGTCAAACATTAGGCTGTTTGAGGTACATGCTGCCCGAAAAACAACCGAAAAAGACAAACATCTCATACCATTGGCTGGCGGTAGAGCGACTTCTGAGGAACATGTTTTATTACCACCTGCATTAAAGAGAAAATGTGTTTGAGAAAAAGCACGTAGAGAACAGGATGAACTACAAGAAAACATGCGTAAAGTGCACACATAAGAAGCCATACTGGGAAGTTGTCTTCTCTACGTTTTCCAAAGAACACTTCCCCATATTGTCCTTCACCCAGCATATCCTGCTCGTCATATTTTTCTTCAAAGTCCTCTACAGAGAGACAAAACAAACACGGGGTTGTGATTAGTTGCATGTAGGAAAGCTGACATCGTCTCATTTTACACATTCGTACAGGCTCTGTTGGAAGCTTCCTGGTGATTACCAGATGGATGCCAGCTAAATTCTGAGAGCTTGGGAAAGGGGCTCTCGTTTAAGGTGTGATTTGAACTTTTTCTTACCTGTAGTGTGACCGTTGTATGTGCTAGGTAAAGGATCATCTGTCTCATAGATGGAGTTGTTAGACTCCTCCTGTGAGCTTGATGTCCTCCTCTTTTTATTGCGTGGTTCTTTTGTTCCATCGCTGCTCTTTTGTTTGCTGCTCTTCTTTCTGAAAGCAGCTGCATAAACAAAAATCAATTAGACCTCTGAACTCCAGACAGGCCTACAGATGATCAGAAACTATAAAACAAAAAATAATCTCTGTGAATGTCTCACTTACACTTCTCAAAGAAAACATGGCTGGGGCCTGGGGTTGGACTTTCGCTGTCCTTTCGTGTTTTGGAAGCTTTTTCCAATCTCTCTGTGGAACCATCTTTTCTTTTGGAGCTCTTGATTCGCCCATCTGACGTCCTGTCCTCTACCCTGAAGGACCAGGGCTCAGTGTGGCGTTCTGCAGTTTGTAAAATAATCTGTTTGTTACTGCTGAACCAAAGCACCTGAAGTAAAAGCCTGTAATTTAAGATGAATTGACAGGTAAAGGAGACTTCACTCACCTAGATATTTACTTACACCCACAGCACGTGGCGTAGCAAAGGTCGGCCAAGATTTTGACGACATATCGGAAACTGGTTCAAAATTGTTCTCCCTGGACTAAACTCACTTTTAACTATTTGATTTTGTATGTAGTTGGAACTTTGAAAGGTCCCTTTTTAAAACTGTTTTGATGACATCACAGAACTTAACATTCTAATATATGCAAACTGTCTCTGCGTGGCTACACAACATCAAATTAAATCACAACAAAGGAGTAACAAGCAGGAGCAGTCTTACAGTATAGGTCACATGTTTGTCAGCATACAGAAGTGAAGTGAGCTGTTCTGTTCATTTAGAAAAATTAACGCCTGCTTTATTAAAAGAAAACCAATAAATATAAAAATAAAAGAATGCAGGAATAGAGACAAAGCCCAGATGTCCAAGTTTTGCAATGGGACATGAAAGCAGCTCAGGGAAGTTGACAGTGAGAAATTTGTCTCAAAAGCCCACCATGCTATCTGTGTGTATGAGGTGAAGCACATACATGTAAGGTTCTGTAAACCAGCGAGAGAGATGTTACGTGAAGTTTTAGACATTTCTACGCACAGAAAGGTTTTTGAACGAGAAGATTGTCCAATTCGTGGAGCTGAGCTTAATAAATAGTGATTATTTATGCACAATTTATTTAGGTTTGGATATATGCATTTGTAAAATTGTTATACATGTGGTTAAATTGCTTCTTATTTGTGTGTGGACTGAAGCACGCGTTTTTGAGTCCTCAAAGATTACACACAAATCACTGCACACATTTTTAAATTTGGTCATTCAGTGTCCCACTTGTCATTCTGGATAGCCCTGACCAACACCCAACGCACAATAATGTCATGAAACCATCTTTTTGGTGATTAGTATCCCATAGCTACTAACTGTTATCCTTAAGCTAGTAATTAGCATTAACTAACATCCTGATGCTAGTAACAATCATCCTTTTTGTGCCAATCACCAATAATTAGGGTAAACCTTTTCCCAAACTATTAAAACTACCCATATGGCAAAGAAATAGAAAAAACTTATAAAAGACTTGCATCAGCTTTAGCTTGCTAGTGAAGCATATAAGGCTTAATATGATTTACTCATGAAAGTGGCCACTTTCTCATTACTTTCATATATTGTTTTAGGAAGTATCCAAAACATACAAGTTTCATTTATATAACTTTTCAAAGGATCTTACATCTGTTTTAACTTTTGTATGCTTTTCATACAAGTTTCACACAAGACAGATACAAACCTTAGAAGATTTATATATATATATCTTTTCCATACTGACTGCATTTTTTTTTAATCCTGCCACCAGGGGAATGTTGGTCATTTTTCCCATTAAGAACATTCTGGTCAGTGTTCAAACATTACATGTACATGTTACAGGAAAAACAACAGGAAAAGACAAATCTGATCATTGGTAGGCAGTCGACTGCTGAGTAACATGTTTAACAACCTCCTGCATTATAGAGAAAATATATTTTAGAAAAATCATGTACAAAATCGATGAACTAGAAGAACTGTAAAGAGAACAAATAAGAAGCCATACTTGGGTTTTCTAAAGATAGGCCAAAACCTTGCTGCATCCACCACTTCATAGTTTTATTCAAAGTCTTCTGCAGAGAGACAAAACAAACACGGGGTCATGATTAGTAAAGCTGACATTGTCTTAGCTTAGAAGGGGCTCTCTCGTTGCAGATTTTAACAATCTCTTACCAATCCTGTGATAAAATGGAAAAATCCACGCCGGGCATCGGTCTCATAGATGGAGTTGTTGGAGTCCTCCTGTGAGCTTGATGCCCTGCTCTTTTTATTATGTGGTTCTTTTGTTCCATCACTGCTTGATTTTTATTTACTGGTCTTCTTTCTGAAAGCAGCTGCAAAAAAAATACATGTCTACAGATGATCATTTACTATAAATCAAAAAATAGTCACTTCAGTGTTGTCTGTCTGCCTTACCACTACATATTTCAAATACAACGAGGGTTTCTACAGACAAAAACATGGTCACTGGTACAGATATGTAGACGACATCTGGGTCAAAATCGAAACACAAGAAGTGGAATCCTTCACTGCGCACATTAACGCTGTGGATAAAAACATCAAGTTCACCAGGGAAGACACAAAGGACGACTGTTTGCCTTTCCTGGCCTGCGCTGTGCACATTGAAGAAAATGGCAACCTCAACATCGAAGTTTACCGGAAGCCCACACACACGGACCAGTACCTCCTCTTTGACTCCCATCACCCTCTGGAACACAAACTTGGAGTAATCAGGATCCTACACCACCGGGCAGAACCATCTAAGCCTGAAGAGAAAAAGAAGGAACACACACATGTAAAGGAAGCACTTAAAACATGCGGTTATCCTAACTGGGCGTTCTTAAAGTCAGCAAAGATGCACAGAAATAAGATGAGACACCAGCGAGGGAGAATAAGAAGGACAGACGCAACAACATTGTCATCCCCTATGTAGCCGGTGTATCAGAAAAACTCAGGAGAGTTTTCTCCAAGCATGACATCCCGGTGCATTTCAGTCCCAGCAACACGCTCAGACAGAAACTGGTTCACCCGAAAGACAAAACGCCAAAACACAAACTTAACAACGTGGTGTTTGCTGTACAGTGCAGCGAGGAATGCCCAGACCTCTACATTGGAGAGACCAAACAGCCACTTCACAAGCACATGGCACAACATAGAAGACTCAGCAGTCCATCTGCATCTAAAGGTCAAAGGTCACTCTTTGAGGATGCCAGTGTTCACATTTTGGACAGAGAAGACAGACGGTTTGAAAGAGGAGTGAAAGAAGCATCTATGTCCACTGTGAGCGACCATCTTTGAACAGAGGCGGTGGTTTACGACACCAACTGTCTGCCATCTATAATCCAGTTCTGAGATCCTGTCACTACCCGATCTGTACTAGAAACCCGATCGGTACCCCGCATGCGCGAAAAGGTGTCTACTTCCGGTCGAAGCGTTTTACAATAGAACAGAGTATCTGTTAAGATGTTAAGAATAATAACTATCTCTTAAAATGTTTCCAATAATGAAACATTTCAATATAATGTAGACAAAAACTAAAACTAAAAAGATAGTTACGGATCAGGACTCCCTGATCCTTACTGCGCATGTGAAAAGTCTGACCATACAAATCGGGTCTACCTGATCCTTGCCACCTCCAGAGGAATCTTGGTCATTTCACCATTAACCCTAGAACACCATCACTAACGCCAGGTGATTTTATACCCAACAAAAAGTACTTCTCATCAAAATATGACAACACATGACAAATTAGAGTGGTCTTCTTTTTTTCCTCAACTGTGCCATGTCTAACAAAATGATGAGAATAAAAGAAAGAAAAATCTGTGTTGCTCTGAATTCTTCTGCAGAGCTGCAGTTTAAAAACTTTAAGCTGTGTTTAAAGTGTTTAAAAAACATTTTCTCCATAGCTTTCATCACTGGTAGATCTACAGTCTGAGGCTGGAGCAAACCAAGCCTGCAATATTACAAAATCTGTTTTGATCAAGCTCACGAGCAGGATGAAGATTTGTGGAAGGAGGTACGGCTGCATGCAGGTTTACTGTAGCGGCTCAGTTCCATCAAAGGGTTTCCACTAATTTAAATATATTTAGCCAGCAGGGAGAAGCAGACTTACTTCTTTGTGCCTGCGTGTGATAAATCTTTCATGCCTTGCTCCAGAAAAACTACTTTGATACTCTGAGGTTGATGTGGACTGTTGGATATGGAGCATCTCCTCATTGCTGTTGTGGTTTTCTGCTGTTTCAGGTTGGTTTTGACACCAGAAACCTTTTCATTAAAGGCTGAAAACGACCACATTGAAATGTCAGAATAAAACATTAAATATGCTTGTGAGAGTTTCCATGTTAGTGTAATTGTAATATATATATATTTACTTTATTTCTGCTGTAAATTTGGAGTTTTAAACAGAGCTGTATGAGAATTGACTCACTTTTGGAGGCAGCTTCAAGTGGCAACTAGAGGAACTGCAGTTTTTTGGCATTTGCGTTAGCTATTAAAAAACAAACAAACAAAAACACTTAAGCTAATGCTTGTTGATAATTGACTTTGGTTAATTGACTCATGTTGTTTGGATGAGCAGAGGTTCATAGCAAAGGCTGCAACCCACATCCTGCTCATTATGGGCAAAAATAGTCTGAGCATGCTCAAAATGTGCCCTTATAGCAGTCCTCTTCTCAAAACAATAACGTTATAGCTGTCTATAAAATCCTTCCTGGGTTACACTGTCTCCCAGGTGTTTCAGCTGCAGTACAAAGCAGCAGTGACCTGCTTCACTTCTTCACTTCTGTTGTCTTAACTTTTGCTGGTTGCTGGTGAGGGGCCTGTATCTGCACACTGTGCTGCTCTTCAACTTCATTCAAACCAGGAAGCTGCTGTGGATGTTGGCTGGGGTCATTTTGGTCATTTTAAATAATTTCTTTGTCAGACACAAGATTAAAGAGTAAACAACCACAAATATTATTAATCATACCATGATCAGCATTAAAGCATTAAAGTGCTGATTATGTTCAAGCTTAAAATGAACTTCCTGAATCTCGTGTCCAAAATCACGAGTGTTCAGATTATCTTTCTTTTGTTTTATGGACCACAGATAAACTTTGTGATCTTCCTGAACATCAGCAGCATCAGTTTTCAGAAGATGAAGAGCACCCACGTGAACCAAAGTGAGATATGTGTGTACATGTTACATGGGGTTATTGATTATCTTAACATCTGTTTTGTAGCCCCCCCCCCAACATGAGTGTTTTATATCTGTCTCCTTCTGATCTGCTGCCCTCTGTAGGAGACTCGTCCACTCTACTCGCCTCCTTATCCCTGTTTGGCTTCACCATGTGTTCAGCACGTCACCGTGGGTCCTTGACTCTACCTGGAGTTAGTTTTAAGCTCCTTCCAGGTAACGACCCAAAAAGTCCTAAAATATGTTGTCAGCTATTTACATTTTTCATGTTGTCTCAGGGTTTTACTGCAGTGTTTTACTGATTTCTAAATCGAGAGGTAACTTTGTTTTTTGCAAAAATGCATCTTCACAACATCAAGATTTGTCAAATGATCAGCAATAAAAAACATGACACTGTATTGATTGCATAAACGCAAAGAAAGACTAATGAGTATCGTGTGTTTTATAGCAACTTTGTATATTTTTATTCTTGGGGGGGCTAGCAGTCTAGTTCATTCATATTTTCATTCTTTTCATCATCTCTGTTTGTCTGAACTCGGAGTCGGCGAAGTGAAAAGGTCTCATTAGCAACAGCTTCATGTGTACACAGGCACGGACGCCCCATCAGAGACCTCAGGGGCCCCCAGGTACAAAGAAACAAAGGGCAGGCATGAATGAATAGGTGGAGGAGCCACACAGTAACCCTCTGATGAAATGAATTCCTCCTCTGCTCTCTGAGCCCGAGTTTGATGAGTGTGATAAAGTGAGACCATTCAGCACAGGGAGGGTTTAAAAAAGGTCTCCATGTTGAAAAAAGCATTCCCACCCTCCCCGTCTTCCTGTCTGAACGGCCTAACCCACATGGTTCACAGAGTGCCCTCCCCCCATGTGTATGTTGTCTTTTCCTATTATAGCGCAGAGTTATCCGGCTGCACGGCCGTAGGACTCTGGTGTTGGATGGCACCCGGCCTGTGCGTGTTTCTGGAACAGCTTTCATCAGAAAGACTTCACTCCTTCAGTCTGCACAGCCCTCAGAATGAATTCCACAGTGAATGTGAGCGATGAGCGTACTCCTCATGACTTCATGTTTACGTCTGAATCTGTGGGAGAGGGACATCCTGGTGAGTAGAGGAGTGCTGCATGTGAGAAACTGCTTTGAGCGCTTCAGTGATCATTGATGGTTTTGAGGAATGCGCAGAAGCCTGATCGGTGCTGCATAAAGTCTACTTTCGTGGAGCCACACGGTGCTGATTTGCAGAGGAGGAATCCTGGACTGAGAAAACTTCCACTTTAGTTCCAATATAAGCAGAACTTGTGTTTTAAGCTGAACATCTGATGAGTCACTTTTTTGTCATGAATAATTTTTACATCTGCAGCTGCTGCTGGAGCCATTTTTGTGGTGCAGACATGTGACGTATGTTCTGTTAGGAAAAATGTGTCTTCGGCATAATATAAATTATGTCATTTATAAAGTAAATAGTGCAGCTTTGCATCTTTTCTTTAATTTTCTAACAAGTGCATGTTTAATGCACTGCAGATGTTTAGCTTAATCCCACCAGGAAGTGGTTGAAGAGCAGATTTAACCTCATCACACTTTGCATTGTTACAATTCTGCAGAACGCAACATGTGAGCATCATGTAAAATAATCAGGATAACAGCTAGATTTTATAACATCTTTGCTGATGTGTAAAAATGGTGCTGGTTCACAGATAATCCCTTATATCAGGTGAGTTTTGAAGACGTGTGCAGTGAAAGTGTCAGCAAATATAATTCGTTTAAAATTACACATAAACATGTGCTTTAAATGTAAATGTGTAGTTAAAACAGCAGCAAACCAAACTTTACAGATGGGGAAAATCCATGTTTGTAATTTAAAAAAAACAAACAAACATGAAAGTTTCACCAACAATAAGTCGATAATATAATATTTCTACATTTTTAAGGGTGGTGTAAAAAATGTTCATCATAAAGCAGGAGAGTAAATTGAAGTTACAGAAGCTTCAGTGCCGTAGTGCTGATACAGTTTGGGAGTGCTTTGATGATGGAGTTAGAGTGTACCGTGTCACGCTGGCATGTATTCACCAAATCAAGGCTATTCATAGTCCTGTAACTGCCAGAGGGAACGGGGTGATATTTTCGGGCTCTGCCCAGATCAGGAATCTGGCATGTGCAGTAAAACGATCGCACGACAGACCGAACCAGCACACATGCAGATATTTATGCCTTTTAGACTTCTCCTTATTCTATTTTTTCCAGATAAGATATGTGACCAGATCAGTGATGCTGTGCTGGACGCTCACCTGAGGCAAGACCCTGATGCTAAGGTGGCTTGTGGTGAGTTTGAGTTTTTGTCCACTAGAGGGAAGCAACACACAGGGAAGAGGGACATTTAAGATGGATGCAAATGGTAATAGTGTCCATGACATTGGTTAAGTGAGACATTAAAAAAGGAGGGTGGGTTGCAAACAGGCTTGCATTTTCTTTTGACTGTAGTGGGAAAAAAATCGCCCATCAGAATATGTCATGTAATAAATGTAGGTGTGATAAGATAAAGCTTCCCACGCCTCAGCATCTTTTGTTTGTATTTCTTTAAATTATATGTCTATTTTTAGTTTATGGAATGAAAAAGATGATATCGCTGGTTCTGCTGCAGGAAAACTCCGTGAAATATTCATTAACAGCAGTGATCCTGACAAAAGAACATCACTTCCCAAGCAATTCAATTCACTTTAATCCAGGACACCAGCAGTATTACATCAATAGTCAGGAAGGACATTCACATCTGATGGCATGAATACACATATGCAGTGTGATGTCCTGTGTGTGGATGAAACAGAGACGGTGTGTAAGACGGGCATGGTGCTGCTCTGTGGGGAGATCACGTCTCGAGCCAACGTGGACTACCAGAGAGTGGTGAGAGAAGTCATCCAGCATATTGGTTACGATGACTCGCAGAAAGGTGAGTGAAGTTTTTAACGTTTTGGCTGTAACTTCATCTACACTGGGATTCCAGGGAGGAGAAATGCTTTCAAACGAAAACATCCCTTTTCTTCTTTTTCCTCTGTTTTTCCAAGGATTTGACTATAAGACCTGTAACGTGCTGGTAGCCCTGGAGCAGCAGTCACCTGACATCGCTCAGGGAGTTCATATCGATCGCATGGAGAGCGAAATCGGAGCTGGAGACCAGGTCATCTGAGCGCTTACATTTCAATTCTGGGCTGAAACACCAGTTTTTTCTTCTTCAGAATATAAAGTGCTGCTCTTTGACTGTACTCGTGCTGCGTGGACAGGGTCTGATGTTTGGATACGCCACAGATGAGACAGAGGAGTGCATGCCCCTCACCATAGTCCTCGCCCACAAACTCAACGCTAAGATGGCCGAGCTGAGACGAAATGGGACGGTCCCCTGGCTCCGCCCAGACTCAAAGACACAGGTGAGGTCAGAGTAGAAAACAGGGTAGACATGCCTGAACCTGCAGTGTGAGGCAGCCAGGGTGGCATACTTAATGGCATGTTTGTTGTGGAGAAGAAAGCTGAACATGCTTCCATGAATCCCCACGAATGAGGTCCAGCAGCCTTCATTCAACTCTTCATGTCAGCTTTGTTGGGCTCTGCTTTAACAGTGTTATTTGTGAAGTAGATTCAGTAGAAGTAGCTCCCTCGTGTGACACACCCGAGTCTCGTTAAATCAAAGTAAAAGGACTAAAAGTGGAAATGCATATTGTTTTGCTACAATAACATTAACATAATGTTCACCTTTCCGTAGGTAACAGTTCATTACGCCCAGGAAAATGGCGCTGTGATCCCCAAAAGAGTGCACACTGTGGTGATCTCCGTGCAGCACGATGATAACGTGTGTGTGGAGGAGCAGAAGAAGGTGCTGAAGGAAAAGGTCATCAAAGCCGTGGTGCCTTCACGCTACCTGGACGAGGACACCATCTATCACCTGCAGCCCAGCGGACGCTTTGTGATTGGAGGGCCGCAGGTAAAGAGCCGAGAACATTCGAAGTCCCCGAATACTGTTTACGTTGATGTCACGCAGCATGAGGATGCTGGCAGTGGCTTTTAGTGCACAGCTCAAATATGATGGGGTTCAAATCTAATTTCATAGTTTCAAAGTGTAAAAACAAATAATGTAGTGAAGATCTTGCTTGCTTGTGTGCTGTGTGGATATAAATCTTTGTGATTTCTCTCAGGGTGATGCAGGAGTGACGGGGAGGAAAGTCATCGTGGACACGTACGGTGGTTGGGGGGCCCACGGGGGCGGAGCTTTCTCTGGAAAGGACTACACCAAGGTGGACCGCTCGGCCGCCTACGCTGCACGCTGGGTGGCAAAATCTCTGGTGAAGGCCCAGCTGTGCAGGCGGGTACTGGTGCAGGTGAGACCTCGTTCCAGTTTAATCTTTTCCAAAAGGTTTCTGAGATGTGTGCAGGATGAAAAGGCTCAGAAGTCTGTTTTCTGAGTCATTTTATGTAAATCATTCTTTTGGATTTTTGTGGGACTCATTTTTCTACATATTTAAGGTGGAAGCTGTTATGCTTGTCATTACTTTGCGGTTCAAACCTTCTGCTTGTGAGGGGAAACAATCAAAAGGCTTAAATAGAGAGGGATGGTGGTGCACCAAGGTCCAATTAAAAGTAAATTAGAATGGTTTTAAACTGTGAATCAAGGAGTTAGTTTCTCCTTTTTTTGGACTTTATAAATAAATAATAATAAAATAATTGTGGAAAACCCAGCAGTACGTGGCACTATCACCAGTGGTATCACCATCATCACAGTGGTGATAAAACAACATGTTCATTAATCACATGCTGTGTTTTTCCAGGTGGCGTATGCGATTGGAGTGGCCCACCCGCTCTCCATCTCCCTGTTCACCTACGGCTCCTCTCCAAAGAGCGAGAAGGAGCTTCTGCAGATCGTCAATAAAAACTTTGACCTCAGACCTGGAGTCATAGTCAGGTCAGGGTTGCACCCACACCACCGCCTCAGTGTTTTATAATCTCTGTCCAAATCTGTTAGACTGTACTGAATCTATGTCGACTGCTTGCTGCTGCAGAGACCTGGACCTAAAGAGACCAATCTACCAGAAGACTGCATGCTACGGACACTTTGGCAGGAAGGAGTTTCCCTGGGAGGTCCCGAAGAACCTCAACTTCTAGTGTGTGTGTGTGTGTGTGTGTGTGTGTGTGTGTGTGTGTGTGTGGTGGAGTCCATATGGCCTTTGTTCATTGCTCTGAGTCTGAGGTGTGGGTGGGTCAGAGGTGTTCCAGCTGTAGGTGACAAAGTCCCTAAATGACAACTGTGAAGCATGAGAGATATTTACACTTTAAATCTAAACTGTTAAAGAAAAAAATAAACCGAGTGGATGACCAAATTTTAAAGGAGAAAAACCGTGCATGGGTCATGTCTTAAGCGTTTCAGTGAGTTTTTGAAGAGCCTGTGGGGATTCTGCACATGTTTGAGGTTTTCTCGCGCTCGTTTATGACTATTTCAGTGACAAACTCTGACAGTCAGCTAAACCTCTTTGAATAATTTTTATCACAAGCGTCTCAGTTTTGCCTGGATAAAAATGAACTTCCATCCACCCAATTAAGGGTCACTGGGGGGCTGGAGCCTTTTCCAGCTACTATAGGGCGAGAAGCACAGACAACACATTGAACTCACATTCACATCTATAGACAATTTAGAGTCACCACGTAACCCAACTCTACTACCTGCATGTCTTTGGACTGTGGGAGAACGCCGCAGTATGCAGAGAGAACCCACGCAGACACAGGGAGAACGTGAAACAGCCAGATGGTGGATTTAACTCAAGACCTTCGGGCTGTGAGGCCACCGTGCTCCCCTGTAAAGTAATTTATTTAACATGAACAACAACACACGTCTACCAAAGACGGATGATGTCAGAGGACATGAAAGTAGACAGTCTGAACTGCATCAGCTGATGACACCCTCACATCAGCTGATTTTTGTTTTTAAAAGACAACTTTCTAAGTCAAAATGACTCCGAAGCGTCTTTAAACCATACATAAAAACATTTTTTTTAATCAACTTGCTATCAGGGGTGGGAAGGTGTACTAGTATCTGCTGCCCTTGGCACTTCCCAAGGTTTAGCCAACTTTCCCCTCCATGGCTTGGATGTGGCATCCTGCTCCTGTTACATTGCATGGAAAACACCAAAATGATTTTGATGAGAGTTTGAGGTTAAAAGAACAGAAGCTGAATAATCTTAGAACTTTGTGAGGTTTTCTGCAGGTGTATAAACTTTTCCTCAGGCTTCATGCAGTTTAGTACGATAACGTGAGGTTTTTAATGAGATGCAGACGACCAAAGATGAAATCCAAATGTCCCAGAGAGGCTTCATATGTTAGCATTTATTAAAGTTTAAAGTTAAGATTTTTCTTCCTGCATGCTTACCAGAATATATATTTTTTACTATCAGTGTAGAATTTTTTTGTTCGTTTGTTTATCTGTTAGATACAGATGGGTACAAATTAGGGAAAAGAAACAAAACACTAAGTTACTTTGGCCACCGTGTGGCGCCAAAGGAGCTCCGATGCGCGTTGGTTTTGCTTCAGAACTCTGCAGGAGGGATGCCAGTCATCATTTCAGTCTTTTAATATGCGTTGATACAAAATTTCACAATTTCTGGTATTCATCTCATCAAACCAATATGTCTTCTGCATGGGAGCCTTTTCAGTTTCATCAGGATGGAAATGTTTATTCAATCAGAACAACTTTGCACTGATTTGCAGTGAAGCTTTCCTCGAGGATCTTTACAGTTTAAAGCTCAATAAACCTGAGTCAGTGGATTCCTGTATATCTAAAGCTAACCACAACCCATTATGTGTGCACACACTGCATCATTTCATATTAACTGTTTTATTGTTTTACTTTCAGTGTACATTCTAAGAAATACAATTTAAATAAAGTATTTCCGCGTATGATGAAATTAAAGATGTTAAACATATCAATGTTTCACCTTCATAGTTTGGTCCCATTAAAGAGAAATTATACAGCATTTCTTTTGGCAATGAGCTGAAATAAGAAACAACAAAAGACAAAACAAAACTGAGCTTATCTGGGAAATATGAGAGAGCTACATGGGCAATGTTGCCTTAAACAGTTGCACCAAGTGTTGAAATTCAGCTTAGAATAACATTTACATCTTTAAGCTACTTTGATAGGAGAGGCTAGTTGTCGCACATGAAGCCCACCTGCTGTCTGATGTTTGTGGAAACCCTCATTTTGCTGCGGAGGTATGGAGAGAAACCTGATTGTGTAACAAAACTTCCTGAGTAGAAACAATGCAAGGCTCCAGGACTGACGGCGCGCAGCGAGGAGCGACATCTGAGGCACTTTCAGAGACCGATTGTTACTCTGAGACAATTAAACCAAACATTAAGGACTGTGGGTGTGCTCGTGTGTGTTTCTTTGTTGGTGTTTGTGTTCGCACAGGCATTGTTGGTTTTGTGCAACGCTTTGCAGGACAGAAGTCTGTCAGTCTTTGGTCACTGCTGAGGAGAGCAGCTTTGGCACTTTGTAGTAGTGAGTGTGGTGATATGCAGGGTGCAGCATCCAGCCTCTAGACTCTGTTACTCTTTCACCTCCAGTTTTTCTCAAACACACCGTAGTTAAGTCACAGGATCGATAAGCTCTCTGGCTGGTGGTGGCCGGCTCCGCCGACCTCTGTCTTGTGGTCAGAGGTGGAAAAGCTCTGCATCGCCCCGCCTTTGGAGAGCACCATCAGGGTGTCCCCCGACATGCCCCCGAACTCAAAGGCAAAAGTCCCGTAGAAGAACATGATGATCGAGCAGTAGATCCACTCAAAGATGGCGGAGGCGTGCTGCAGGGCATAGCTCTCCTGGCAGAAAAAACCCCCACCTGGTGATCAGAGGGTTAAGGCGAGCAACGGCTGCACAGTGGTTCAGTTTGACATTGTTTTTATTGCTCACGTACTGAGACGTACTGGTCGCTACTTTGAATTCGGTCCTGTGCTGTTAATATTAAGATGGCTTCACCATCACATTGACCTGTGGTCAAACCTGACCCTCTAACACAAAGGCCCACCTTAAAAAAAGTGATGGTTTACCTTTACCATTAACAGCCAGTAAAAGGTTTCCTGTGTCTGAATGCAAGCCTCACATAGACTCCAATCAATACCATCAATACCTTGATGACCTGCCTTTTAAAGGTGCATTGCAGATGTTTTATCCCTAAATGTTTCCTTACAGACTTGACAGCAATAAACTCATCAGACACATAATCTTCATAACCAAAAACTCCAAGTGAGCATTTGGTTTCAGTCATGTTTGTAAGGCTGTGTGCTCTCCAGCAGGGGGCAATGCAACATACCATACATTATAAATGTGCTGGATTTTAAACACTATGAAGTCACGTGTGCAGACAGACAAGAAATTAGTTTTATACTAATGTGCTGATTTATTGCACAAAGCTGAGTTTCTCAGGATTTATGCACAAACAAGGCCAGTTATTGTGAAGCAAAATGACCCTTTTCTCCCTAATATATCCCTGCAACCCATTCATGCTGTTTTAAAGGTTTGATTATCTACAAATGCATCTTTTAGTAAATTTTGGGGAACAAACTGTGTTAAGTATAATGGATCATAAAGTAACTACTAAAGTGCTACCACACTTACAATTATGTCATTAAATATGTTAAAAAAGGTCTTAAGTTCTCTTCTTAATGCAAAAGTCATGTAATCAGTACTGTAACAAGTCACTTTCATTACTTTTAAGAAAAGTAACAAATAATGTGCAATAATACATAACCTTTTTTTGGCTCATTTAACCATCATGAAAGAGAAAGAAAAACTATAGTTATATTGACCCATCCATTCACCCTGAGCTCCTTGTTCCTGTCTCTGTGGCTCCATAAATCTACAACTTACGCTGCCATAGGTCCTACAGCCACTAGAGGGTGCCAGGTCTCGAAATAAATCTTTCTCATCCAGCTCTGACACAACCCTGCAGGGTATCTATGCCACTGAATGTGGTTTTAAACAAGCAAATAAATAAATGCAAGCAACCTATGTGTTAGGGAACTGTTTCACTAAAAATGTACTGTAGTGCTGGAAGAAACACAGATAAGCTTCAAGGATACTGAGCACCAGGGCGATGAGGGCCAGCAGGGCCATCCCCACTCGTATGTGACCTATCCAGTATTCCTCCTGGGTCTTGGCCAGTCTGTAGGTCAGAGCCGACTGAAGGCACACAAACAGCATGCTGGAGGGGAAGGCGACCCCAGCTCCCACGTAGTGAAGGACTTTAGCAAAATCCACCTGAAAAAAAAGAAAACAAAACAGGCGGATAAACAAAAACTGTTACACTGAGGACCTGGAAGTAGAAACACAGCACGGAAGAGAAAGACATAGTCGGTCTTTCTCATCCACTATGAGAACTATGAGAGCACGCCGCTAACACGTTAACAAGCTACCCACGCTAACGCGTTGACGCCGTCCAGCCCCACGCACGGAGCGATCCACGCTAACTCGCTAACGGTGATTTGCAGCATTAATGCGGTTATGGCGTTAACGTCATTTTAACGAGATTAACGCTGACAGCAGTATTTTAAATGCAACTAAAATCCTCCTTTTTTGTGTTTAGGACAAAATAAATTCATGTGATATCACCAACTGTCTTTCATAATGCTCAACATCATCATATAGCAGCCACTGTTTGACTGATGTGAGCTCAGCACCAGGCTTTATTTGATTTTCTGCACTGAAAATCACATTAACCGGAGGATGAACACTGCCACCCTGTTGACTGGGTGAGGTTTAAATTTGTTGTGTAAACCAAAATATCTTAACGACTCTGGGAAATTTGTGTTACATTAACAAATGTAACATAAATCGATTACTGGATGTATTTCTCTCAAATACGCCTTCAGGCTTTAGTATAAATCTGGAGATGGAAGTTAAACAAGTCCTTTACTCAGCAGAATATCATTTACACCTCACAGTCTTCTTGTGGGAACATCAGGACAAAACAAAGCTGATAGAAATACAAACAGAGGTCATTGTGACCCAGCACTGTTACCAAATCATCTGTCACAGGAAGCTGTAATGATACTAATTTACAAAGGAAGCTGGATCATCACCATTATCATCTCTGGCACTGGAGGAGGCGACACGGTGTCAGCTCGAACTCCACACATAACAAGCCGGAAGATTACCCGTCACTGCCATGAGCTCATCTCGTTTCAGCATCACAGACGGAGGAAGTTCATTTTTAATATTTTCTCCTGCAGTCTGTGAGAGCACGTTTTCAAATACAGCAGCTGATTTTATGACGACACATCTCCTGAGCCTGGACTTGTGGTTTATCATGGAGGAAAAGCAGCGGTTTAAGCCGTCTGACCACAGGGAAGAGACCCAGAGAACAAACAAATACTCATTCAGCTTGAGTTATAATTGTGCTTACACCAAGCATCTGAAAGTTTTTTGTTCATGAGCTACTTTTATGTGGGTCGTATCCTCTCATATTCATCTCAGCATTAATTATAAAACTGATTCAAAGAGAAGGGCGAGCAGGAAGATAGATAAATCTTCACATACGAACAGAGGAAGAGGAGTCAAATGCAGGACAGTTGACAGGTAAGCTGAGGCTGTGTAAAATCCTAAAAACAAGCCATATACCAAAGGGCAGTCAGGGAGGCCAAACAATCCAGGCAACAGGTCACACAGAAGGAAATAACTACAAACACAAGGAAAAATACTGAGAAAATGAGGAATTGTGCAGCAGGAGGTTTATGTCCTGAGGACACTTATTAGAAACAAACAATTACCAAGAAGGGGTCACGAAGAAAGACAAGAAGTAAAACTGACAACAGTGTAAAGAGAACAGTCCAAAAAAGGACCGCCTACCTGCTTTTCCTAACCACTTTTCCTCGACCTCGACGGAAAACATCACGAAGCGAAGGAAAGGAGCGAAGGAGAAATGATGAGCACTGTGCACAGAAACTACAACACCCAGAACATGGACTACAAAATGTGTTTAACACAGCTTTATCTTTATTTTGTGAATTATGGTGCGTTATTATTCCCACGTGTTTTTGCACTACTGTATCGGCCTGCAGGGTTCTCGGGTTTCTCAGTCAGATCCACACTTTGCTCAGGTCATCTGCTCAGCTTCATGCTGCAGAAGCAAGTCTCAGCAAACATTTCGATGGTGTTTCCTACGTCCATCTTTATTCAGTGTCTATGTGTGATTTAAACCTTATTGTTGGTGCTAACTTTTTGGGTTTTTCTGGTGATTGTGACGACTGGAATAAAGGTCATAAATCTCTTCTGATTAATAATAAAGAGCCTTCAAAGCTAAAATAACTCCTGGAGGTCTTGAAATGATCTTGAAAATGTACATATGAATTACTGTGTCAGGCACTGTGGAATAAGACCTGGGACATGGGATGATAAAGGTTTAAAAATGCAGACATACCACCGATGAATGAGACCACAATAAGCTCTTTGTGGAACGATGCATGATGCAGAACAATGCTGCAGAAATTTTCCTTTTCCACGCAGACTCTTGGCTGCATCATTCGTGATTTCCTGAAACTCCAGTTCAGCATTCACCCTTCTTTCTCTGAGACATAAACAGACTGGATGAAGCTGTTTATCATTGTGTCAGAGCCATGCGTGCTTCTACAGTATATGAGCCCATATCACTCAAGACGTCTGCCATGTTTACACTGTGGGAAACACTGCGATTCATTATATAAGACCGAGCATAGAGGGGGAGGGAGGAGGGCGCCACGGCCAATCGGCGAGCAGGGGAGGGTCGCCCTTAATCGATGGTGGGCGAATGGATGAAAAGAACTGAGGCTGCACTGTGCAGTGACTCTGAGATGTATTTGAGGGGGCCCACATGTGCAGAGACAGGGCAGCAGTAACCTGAGACCCCAGCCTCCCTGCATTACTGTGACCTCTGGCAGCGTGCACACGTGCCTGAATATTATCACTTCTATGTCAAAACAGCTCAGACGGCCGCCACATGCACACGCACAGTAGAAGCTGAAGTACTCCAATCTTTTTAATCAGCCCACAGTTTGTCTACTTTATTCTATTGGGACTTTCTTTGCACAAATGTTGCTGGATCTGTACTTTATTTAGTCTCAAAATCAGTGCAGACATTGTGTTTACGTACAACCAGTACAAGATGACACACACTCACATTGCCCTGTGAGTTCATTATGCTATCCCTAGTTGTGCAGCTATAGTCCCAGATCAGCTGATCATCAAACCACAGCTCATCCAACTGGTGAATCTTTGGCCTGCTATATTAGCCGGCCCACAGCTGCTGTGTCTCTGCAAGCCACTTTGCAACCCTCCTCCACCTGATCTGTTCATGATGTGTCCGACTGCTTCACCTCCTACCTGAACTAACGATATGCTCAATTTTATGCATCATGTTAGCGCGTTTCAACAAAGATGATGCAGCTTTGTTTCCACTGCAAAGTGGCTAGATAGATAGATAAATCAGCAATCCTAACACAGCAAGAATCAGCTGGTTCTGAGCTCAAGGACAACAATCCTTCAAAGTACAAAATGGACCAGAGCACACTGATCACATCAGAGCCTTTACATTTGCAAACATGACTTTTGTCTCCCCTAAAGTATCTGAATCAGTGATTACAGGTTTAAATTAAAGTTAATGTAATGCACCTGTGTTTGCCTGCAGTGACAAGAAGATTAGGAAAGGCAAAGAATGCAGAAATAAGGAAAACCTTTCATGTAATTTGTGTCTTTGAAGTGCTGTGAAGTAATATTAAACAGTCCTTAACATACCGTACACACCTCACATGTATTGCATATTAAATTGAGTGTAGGATACATCTAGAGCTGTAAAATAAATGCATTGGATTAAAAAGTCCAACATGTCTCAGTGACATGTTCTGCAGTAAAAATCAAGAAATCAAGTGACACAGTTGACTGCACGTAGTTTTCTTTTGCCTCTTATACGTTTCTTTCCTCTGATCTGCAAACTAAAAACATTCATTATTATCGCGGTGACATTCAGACGCTGCACCGGTGCTGCATTCCTGGCAAAACCAAATCAGCACAGGTTTAACAGAAGATTTCGTGCAAGTCAGAACTTGAAGCACCAAGAAATAAAGGAGCTTGCGCTGCGACCCTAATGTATGCATGTGTGTCCTGAGCATCTGCTGTAAAAACCTACACGTTGGTGCATGTGTTGCAGCTCTTCTCTCTAATGAAGCCATCTTCTATGAATCAGAAGAAAAGGTGAGCCAAAGATTGAGCTTTTTTCTGAAAAATGAACGGGCGCTTTGTCGTGAGAGCACGCCCTTACATTACACCACGCTCGAGTGTACCGAGGGCAGAAACACAGACGCACAACACGCAGCCAAAATTTTGTTTTTATGATCACAATACCACAGCGAGACAATTTCCAGACAAAACAAACAGAACATCAAAAGGAAATGTGCTTGGAAGCTCTACAAAGAGCTGCGAGTCTGCAGGAGCGAGGATCATCAGAGGCTCTGCAACCGCAACGCAGCAGAAACCCCGTATACGCCAATCCAACATTCACAGCGGTGCGAAAGGACATAATCCAGCTCGTAAGCTCGTAACTCGATTTTTCGAAGACTCGATTGAAATGGGAATGAGAGACAGAGTTGCAGTGCGTGCACGTAGCCACGTTTGCTGAACAATGGGCTGCACCGCAGGCTGAGGTGCACACTGGGTCATTGTGTAACTTCATGTCTTTGATGCTTGACGAGGCTGTGTGAAGCTGGAGAAGGGCTTGGTAACAGGTTTGTGAAAATAGTTATGAAAGTTAATGTTGCTGTAGGAAAGAGGTGTCAAACATAAGGTCCAGGGGCCAAAATCGGACCAGCAGACTCTCCAATCCACTGCACAGCATTCAAAAATGTGAAGGAACAGTAAAAGGACCGCAGCACGCCTCATTCACCGACTTATTCGCCTACAAGAACTTTTTCTACACCCAAGTCCTTTCAATCTAACACACAATTATTCGCTGCTCAAACAGCAGCTTCAGTCTCTTGTCCAAGATACTTGGATACCAGGGATCGAACCATCGGATGACCTGCTCTATGTCCTCAGCCACAACCAGCCCAAAGGTGTCAATTTTGGACTTTTAACTGTATTTTTATAAAGTTTTATAGCTTTACGTTTACTGATAAAGGCTGCACACATGAGTATCCATGTTACAAAAAGGTAGGCAATGGATGTAAGATTATAGATTAATAGATTAAAGAAAAAATGAAATAGTGGAAAAGTTCCTGGTTTCTTAACATCTACTAAGGATTTTCTGTTTTTTATAGACAGATACACAGCGATGTACACATGGATACATTTTTACTAATCTTGACTATGAAAACCAACCTTTTTAAGGACTTGTGAACCCAAAATGATTTATTTGAAGCCAGGAAATCTGCCCTGAGCTTTATATAGAAGCTGACACGGCTGTTAAATAGAAATTACATCACAACGATGTGATCGTGTCAGCTGCACTGATGTTCTTGGAACATTAACTGTATAAACAACGCGTGAAAATTACACACAGCTCTGAGTTTTTAACACTCGCTCCTGTTTGCTCCCCTCGCTGCCTCCTCTCCCCACTCTGGCCTTTCACAGCTGCCTTCAATCCACATTGGAGCCCATGGATGTATAAACACACCATAATCCCACCACCCAGGTATTAGTCAGTCCTTGGGAATATGCATTGGAGCCTCTACTGTAGGTTTATTTACATGAGAGCCTTTAGTTGATACATGGCAGATCTTACAGAGGAGAAACTGTTTAATAAAGGTTACTGCTAACTCAGTGTTTGCACAGACACAATTAATGAGATATGAGCTTTAACATCAACTTTATGAATGAAAAAATGAAAGAAGAGTCTCAGTCAACTTCAGGTGCAACATAAGGGGAGGAGTTAGAGAAAAAATGCATACAGGTTAGGTCTTTTATCCTGGTAACTCTGTTTTTCTCATGTCAGGATAAAAAATCTGTCCTGAAAAGAGCGTTTGATTCCAAACAAATACAGTCCCTCAAATCATAGTTTGGTTTACAGTGGACTTAAATGAACAAAGTGGTGATCCTGAATGGTATCTCAAAGTCTGGATGCAGGTGAAAGTTGTTTCATTCAACAGACTGGTATGTGCTTCCCTCTTCCCTCAGAGATTAGCTGCCCATTAGCTGAGTTTCTGTTCTGGCTGAGGGGAGGCAGGTCAGTCTGACCTTCTTCATGGTCATCACTTAAATTACCTCCATGCTGTTTGTTACATTCAGGCCTTCTGCTTTCAACTGACCCATAAATCATGAAGTCTTATCTCTGCTGTGTGGCCTGAACACGGCATCAAGCCCGTTCTACCTCCTACTTCACTGCAGTAAATGTGGAAAAGCACAAAGTTACCCAGGTGTTAATACATTTTCTAAAACCAGCAAGTGTTATGTTGCAGGAAAAAAAACAGTGCACCCAGATTAGTTTGTTTTTAGGCTACACATGGATTACAAGCTTCCACCTCAGTTTCAAAGAAAGCAGCTGCACAATAGCCGGAGGTGCCGTGAATCACACACAGTGAGATTTCCATCTCTGATTATGTAACTTACTTTTTGCAGCTTTTTTTGCAGGATTTTTGCTTTTGTATCTTTCACGTATAAATATCACCCCTCAATTGATGTTGTTGAACGATTGCATAAGAATGATTTGGGGCCTGTCAGGCCCACTATCCCAGTTTCTCTCCCCTGTAAAGTCGATCAGATGGAAAATTGGCAGGATTCTGAATGAAACTGGGACAGAGTTCATAAAATTTGAGTTCATTTAACTGTGAGGATAAACATTAAGTTGTTTAGGAATAATTGCAGGATCCTATCCTCTGAACAGAGTCTGCCTAAAACCACGTGCGACTCTTTTACAGGGATCTCTCCTAAAGAGAGGAGTTAAAGTTTGCAGAAGAATAAAAAACTTCCACTATTATCACCCTTGATTTACATGAAGTGAATGATTACACAGGCAGGGATGAGAGCTGTGGGCGAAGGTCAGCGTGAACAGATATTTACTGTCACTGCTGCTCGTGTGCTGTGAGTCTATGAAAAACTGTGCTGACAAACATTATCCAGACTTTTTTGATCTCATTGACTCTGACTGGATTAATTACCTGGAAGTTTCCCACCATGATGAGCCCCGCGGCGCAGAGCCACCCGGCGGAGAGGCCGGCGGTGTTGAGGATGCAGTTCTGGTGCTTCTCGATCACGTGAGCGTAGCGCAGCAGGCCGATCAGCATCACTGGAGGAGGCGAGGAAAAAAGGAAATGACAAATCGGGAAGAAAGGACCATTTTTGTTGGTCAAAAAGTTATGTAACCACATTTTTTTTCTCTTCCAGGAAGAGAAGCTCACACTACAAACTCTACCTGAGGTGTTTATGATTGCTCCAGCGGGATGAGCTCCATCTCTACAGAGCAGAAAAATAACCTCAGGGCAACAAGCATGAAGCTTAGTCCTCTCTGAAACTGATTTGCTTAGGCTGCTTGGAGGCAGCAGACAGAAGGCTTGCATCATTTGTACTAAAAGGGTGACGCTGCTGGTCCATTCAATTCACTACAGAGTCAGATTAACAGCACAGATAGTCTTACAAAATTCTAGCATCACTGGATTACAGTTTATAACAAAGTACATGTCCTCAAGTACTTCACTGAAGTACTAGTTCAGTATACTTGCAGCTTATTCAAGTATTTCCATGTTATGCTACTTTTTGCCTCGATTCTACTACGTTAAAGATGCAAATATTGCGTTTTGTACTCCACACTGTTTATTTTAAAACATTAATTCCTTCTTATTTTACTGACAGGCAGTGTACGGACAAAGGTTTTAGCCCACACCTCTTAATCTTTTAATTCAGGTGTTTTCAGTGCCATTGTCACCGGTGTATAAACTGAAGAACTTAGCCATTCGGTCTGCCTTGACAAACATTTGTGATGTAAAGGGTTAATCTGAGGGTTAAAGGGTTATCGTCCATGTAAAGTTACAGAGCGGGGACACAGAGTGCTGAAGCATCTAGAAAAATCCCCAGTGCTCTGCTGAATCAGTAAATGCAGAGCTCCAAACCTCCTCTGGCAGTAACATCAGCACAACAGCTGTGCACCAGGAGCTTCATGGCATGGCTTTCCAGGGCCAAGTAGCTGCTGAAGGTGTGATGTGCAGGGGAATCAGTACTAGTATCCTTACAGTATGATTATAGATAAAGCTACTATCTCCACCTGCAACATTGAAATGATCACCAGTTAATTTAACATGCATATCTTTGGGACTGTGGGAGGAAACTGGAGTACCAAGAGAAACGCCATGCAAGCACAGGAAGAACATGCAAAGGCAAATCAAATTTCAAGGTGTGTGCCAACTCAGGTCCCTGCTTTAGCCACACCATCATTTTTGCAACTATAAGACTTCCAATGCCCAAACTGCACAGAATAAACCTTTAGTTGTGCTCAAAGCTAAAGCTTGATGATTCTGCACATCCCTGTGTGAGCAGATTCCTGATGTCTGTTTATGAAACGTCGCCTTCAAAGCTTCGCAGCAGTTTCACACGGCTCTCCCACCCTCCTGTCTGATCATCATGCCGTTCACATCTGGCACTCATCTCCCTGCAAACTGCAGAGAGCGACTGTTTTGATGTTCCCGTGGGTTGTCCAGCAGCGAGCACAGTGGTCCGTTTGTGGCGATCGAGTGCACGCCACGATAAGACTCCGTGTTTTGGGTTCTGGGTTAGGCGTGCGTTTCTTGGGCTGCTGCACAGCAGGAGTTTGACATTTACCATTCTTCTAACCTCACACTACACCTTTGAATTAAACAAACTCCCCCACCAATATAAACTGAGCATTGTTTATGAAAGGGGAATAAAAAAAGAAGGAAAGCTTTTGATGTGGGAGAAATGAGCTCGCTCACAAACCCTAATTTTTGCAGACTTCACCGAAATCATCCATAAAAATGGTAATTACAGGAACGAACTTGTTGTTCCTGTATTCCTGCAAAGAGAACAAGAGGTCCTTCCTTTAAGTATTTATCTATTATCCTTCAAGTCAAATTAAGATGTTGTCATTCCTTGACTTGGAAAGAGCACTGCTCAGCCCGGGGTCGGGACACCACGGACCAGGATCGCAAAGTTACACACCAGGGCACAAATGTTTGGTGCGCTTTTGTCAATTTAAGACAGATTTTGAGAGCTACGTATCAGGCATCTGTGGTCTAATGAAATAGAAAGTGACAAAAGCAAGAGAGCGAAAAACAAGAGAAGTAAAGTTTTCTATTAAGCTCTAAAGCTTATTTTTCTCAAGTCTTTGTCGCTGTTTCAGACTATTTTCTCTGATTTTCGTGTCTTTTGCCACAATGACAAAACACCAACACGAAGCCCTGAAAAACTTTTGTGCCCCATGGATGGAAAAACAGTGACTGTGTGTTAACAGCCAAGTTCTGAGATAAATCTGGTTCAGGGAAAAAGCCTGAGCTGGAACGGGTTAACAGGTTTTTAAACTTGCCCAAATTCCAGCATTTTCTCAGAAAAGCAGCATGAACCTGGTGTTCACAGGGGAGAGGTCACCTTAAATAAATGGCTCTGTATAGAGAGCAAATAGGCAGCTTCAGTCCAGGACACTCGGGTCAAAGGGTTGACAATATACTGCAAAATGTGTGTGAGTTCACGTTGGATCACAGGAAGCTCCCAACACCAGGAAATTGTGTCTGACTGAGGCTCCTACAGTCGCTTTCAAATCTGGAAAGAACTGCATTCCTTTGAGGCAAACTTCCATTTATGCATTTCCAAAAAGTTGATCAGGGTGAATTCCCTGAGTGTACATTATCAGAATCCTGGCAAACATTTTTAAAGCAAATATAGAAAAAGAGCCAATATACCCTCTGCACACCGGGCAACGAACCCTGAGCAAACCACAGAAAATCAATGCTTTTGGCACACAGAGTAGCTGTCCGTATGGTCAGAGGGTGAATGCTTGTGGGTCATTTTATTCAGAAAAAAGCAGTATCGATGGCCTAGATTGAAGTTTTCTCTCAGATTGAGGGCTGAGGCCAGAGCTGGCCGTGGATTCTGGGGAACAGAAAGTTGGCCGGAGCCTCTCCAGCTGAAAAAACAAGTCCTGTTCAACCAAGATGTTGGGTAAATATGTACGAGAGTAAAAAAAGAAAAAATACTATAAAAGCTGAATATTTGTAGACCAAAACCATCCTGGTTCTTACCCATAAAGGATCCGGTGCTGCATATGAGGCTGAAAAAGCAGCTTTCAGGTGGCAGAGTTCCACATTTACTACAATGGAAACACAGAGGAGAGGAGGGTGGTTAGTATGGGCTGTACTCAAACTACGACCCCCTGTGCTTGCTGTCATATACCCCCTTCTCCATATTTTACTTTTTTTTTTTACTGTGCACAACTGGAAAACCCATATTTGTGTGCTTAGCTGCTCTGTGATACTAAAAACCTGCCAGCATTTTTTCTATAAATATAGAGTCTTTGTGGGAGGTCAGAAAGAAGGACACACATCTGTATCTCCAGCTCAAAAGCATCCAAAACATTTTCCCATCTAGACACAATAAGCCGATTAGATTTTAATCTTGTCAGCAACACTTATTCAGCACCCTGGATGTTTTTGTGGGGGGAACATAAGACTTGTGAAGCACTTAACAAAAGCCTTTCTTTCTGCAGAGGTGAGGAGGAGCCTCGCTCGGGCAAGTGCGGACTTATCTAAGATCACGATCTTCACTGCAGCTGCTCGCCAAATATCACTGCAGTTTATCTGAAACCGGATTAGTTAAAGAAGCGGACGACATCACTTTCTGGAGCTACATGTAAGACTTGCAAACCCTAAAGCAACAGTTTCAGCTGATGTTTGTAACGCTGCATGGAAACAAAAACTGATTTTCAGCCCCATGAACAGCTGCAGATCTCGTGGATTCCTGACAGTTCACAAGGATTTACAGGTTGAAGCAGGCAGGTTTTTAAACTCTGAACTTTCGTAGCTTGTTAGTCCCTATTTCATGGATGTCAGATGCTTAAATTGGGTCAGTGAGCTTACACTGAGGGCTAGATGTGAGTTTGCTTTAATTTAATCCCCAAAATAAAAAACTACCTTGGATTTATTGGTTCGTGTCCTATAAAAGCCTCTTTACCTGCACTTTAAAACAGTCATGCAGTAGCATTTCCTCTGCCTTATCTATCATGATGAAACTTTGTTTTTCCAGCTCTGACACTTTGATATTTGGCTTGCATAAATATATTCTGTGAGTTCAACGACTTTCTGAAGACTTTGTTTGATGTCCGTGGCTCCACATTTCTGCTGGTGTGTTTTAAAAATGACTGTCCTCTTACTTTTGCAGCTTTTCTTGTGTTATTTCAATTAGTAGTTTTAGTAAAACAGGAAAATTTTGTTTCTTTTTTTAGAAAAGGACCAAAAATCAAGCACGTGCTTGCTCCAACTGAACAAAAGCAGCCATCCTCGAAAATAAACCACTGACCACAGCAGGGCGGTTTGCTGTGTCACATCATCTGACATCTGTGGTCATATCATGTGTACAGCATAACTTTTTTTGTGTTTCAGTGAAATTGTTATTACTGCAAAAGCAGAACTAGGACCATCAGTCTGCTTCCTCTTTGTGGTTTAATGAAGGATAGGGCAGGAATGACTGCAACGTGCAGCCGTTCTGTTCTTTGAAGTTCCCAAATGTTACAAGAAACCAGGAGTTTAGCAGGTAAGCAAACAGCAGCAGCAGCTTAGCATGGAAATTAAAGTCCACCTGTAACACCCGCAGAGGTGGGCTCACTGACCTGATGAGTGGTATGTTGTCCAGGGTGCAACACAGTACAGGTCCCCTCTGTAATGGAAGCGGCTCCACACAGGACTCATTGTAAACCCTAGAAAAACACACATGTGCATCCATTTATTTCAGTTATTCAACATGATTCAGTCGTTATCTCTCAGAGTGCCGAATTTCTTGCGGTTGCTCGAATTTCTTAAAGTAGGATGGGAGGCCTTCAACTATCAGCCCCATCTCCTTTTTCAGGATTATGCTTCAGACTTGGGACAGCATGGTCACTGGTGTTGGAGTTCGAATGCACCACCTAGCCGAGGCCTTTCTGCATGGATGCGTGAGTTCGCTACAGGTTCCAGCTTCCACCCACAGTCCAGAGACATGCAGTTAGTGCGGTTAGCTGAATGTGATTGGTCATCTGTCTCTGTGTGTTGGTTCAGCAATACAATGGCAACCTGTACACTGTGTCCCCCACCTATCCGAGATGGGCTTGATCAGGTGACTCCGGAGTATTGCTGTTATGGGCCCACACTGTTGGGGGATTTCCCATGATGCCACGCACTTCTTCTCCACTCTCATCTTTTTAGTCTCCATGTGTTTCCATTCCACTACTTTATGTCATTATGTTTATTGACTGACGTTTGCTGTTTGTGGCCTGAATCTGCAGGAGGTTTGTTCCTGTTAAAAGTGAGTTCTTCTTCTCCACTGTCGCCAAGTACTGCTTACATGGGATCATCGAAATGTAGGTTGTCTAACTCCCAGTAAAAAAGGTTGAGTAAAAATAAAAATGTGATCTTAGTGTTTCACACGAGATCAATGTCAATTCAGGCAAACTGAAGTGACCAAACGTGTTGAAAACTCTGTTAATGGTTGAGCATCAGCTGCGACACATTTGGCATGATAGCGCTCTTACTGTACGCAAATGACGGTAGAAAATTAACCCAAAATGTTTTCAGGTGAAAGGTCTTTTATGTAACACAGTTAATGTTCAGCTGCATACTTTGTTTTTATTTTGATTTCTATTCTCCATTTGTATGCAAGTGACTCAAACCGATGTCTCATTTAACTCAAATGCAAAATAGCAAACTACATTCCTGCATTACAAATGTTAAAAACTGGGTTTGTAACATTTTATCTATAAATATATACCTGTATTTACTAAGATACCTGTATATGCATGTAGACAGGGCCTAAATCTACATATATTTGCAGATACAGCACTATGGAGATATGTGGTCCCAATATCCCAGTGGCCATATGTTGAGAAGCAGGGTACACCCTAGACTGGTCAGAGTGTAACACAGTACCCGTGGAGAGCAAGCAAACCCCGAACACAGCTTGAGAGAAAGTCTGTTTTATGTGTTTTTATTTGTTAAGGACACGCTCCTGTTTACAGGTAAACACACAGAGTGAATCTTTAACCCTCATTATTTGATTTGGCTGATTTTGTTTTTTACAAACACTCAGAGAACTTATCAACTTCTAATCTGATATGATGACAATGTTATCCAACACTCGCTGCTTCACTCATTCAGCAAATAAGGAAAATCACTGTTATCATCCCTGGAGTTTTAGTTTGTAAATATAAATCCAAGATTCACTCTATTTATCTCTGAAGCTGCATTTCCACTCAAGGAACCCTGATATTTTCCACTGTGATCTATATTAAAGGCCACTGAAGATCACACAAATTAGTGTTTCAACCAATGGAGAAATCTCAACTTCTGGTTTAAGTGATGATGCTTTGCAAGTGGACTCATTAGTTAACATGTTTTTGTACATAAGTCACAATGTTTTTAGCATCTTTAAGCTTTCTTCCTGTTGAAAGGATTTTTTTCTTTCCCACTGTGCCCAAGTGCTTGTTATTGTGGGGTCTTTACCTTGCAAAATGAAGCACCTTGAAATGACTGTTATGATTTGTGATTTGATTTGGCGCTTTTTAAATGAAAGTGAACTGAATTGTCTGGTTTAACCAAGCAGAGCTGAACAGTTGAATGCAGTCTTGAGAAATTGTGCAACAATCCTGCTTAAGGTCTGAAGCACTTTGTGTAGTGTAGACATCTCTGACTCTTTTTTTTTATCTAATCCACAGTCAAAAATCTATCTCTGTGAAAGTGACCTCTGGTCACTGCACTGGAAACAATTTGGCAAAAGTTTCCTCGTCTCTTTGGGAACGTTCCTGATGTGGAGATGCAGCTTGTGTCTCTTTGGTGCTTTGAAGCAACATTAGCTGCTGACCAATACTATGGTCTTTAAAATGAACCTGATATGTGTGTTTGTGTGTCTGTGTGAGTGCTGTACCAGTTGTTCACAGGGCAGACGTGCTGGTTGTAGAGGGCCATCGCGTATCTGTGAAGACAAAGAAGAAGAAAATCTTTGGTCAAAGATCTGAACAGACGGTTAAAGAGGCAGACAGAAAATGATGAAGATTCAATCATGCTGTCAGGATACGGTCTGGAGATAACACTGGCTCTGCTCTCAAAACATGTCCAAAGCTCTGCCTCACTCGCTGTACTGCAGCATTTGAAAGTGTTGTCACATCCAACCACACGAACGTCTCCAGGCTCTAATAATGTTTTCCACTAACAAAACACACATGAATCACCACACGGTTGTTTTCAGAGACGGAGACAGCTCCTCTTCATCACACATGTGCGTCGAGCCGGACGGCTGCATATTAACATGTACTGTTACACCACAGGGATGTTTAAAAAAATGTCAGTTACACAAAACAACCTCCACACACACACACGCAGAGCCTAACAGCCAAACAGAGATCATTCATCACACACATAAATGCACAGTAGTACATTTTAGAAGCACATGTTCTCTTACTCCACCAATTAGGTGCAGACTCCTATCTCTCAAACTCAATGCTGGATTTCCATAAATTCTGAACAGACAGTAATTTCCTCCAGAGGATAAATGCTTCTGGTTTCGGTGATCCTCCGGCTTTCTGTCTGGCTGTACCAGGAGATCTTACACACAAAGGTTTGGCAACTATCAAATAGAGATTTTGCACAAACTATCCAGATTGTTTTTGTTTTTTTAATGCAAAACCCTCTGAGAAGTCCTTGAAAACAAGTTGAAAGTGCTGTTTCTCTCCAAATATAACTGGCAGTTGACTGAAACTCTAAAAGATGACGCCAACACAGAAGTACCAAAAACTGCAGTTCCTCTAATGGCCACTTGGGGCTGACTCCCCTGTTAAAATGCTCAACTTTACAGCATTAAAAAGTATTAAAATCTTTGATTTCTTCTTCTATTTTTGGCCTCTTCTTTTTTTCAGCCACCTTCATAAAACAGCTGTACAGAGTTGACCCTTTGAAGCCATAATTTCTACTTTTAGTCCTCTAATCTGAGTCGCTGAACTGGAGTCAAAATTTGTGCTGTTGGTGCATTTTTCTAGGAATTAACTTCTAAATAATATACTCTGCTTTGTGCTGCAGACCTCCCAGGAAGTCTGTCTGTGTCAATTATTTTACCACAATCTCTCAAACCTGATGACAATCCAGCTCCTTGTGAAGTAGACTGCAACAGAAATCCCTTCAGTTTTACTCTTCAACTCTTTTCTACTTAGGTTTAAGATCAAAAGCCTGCAAAATGCTTGACATTTCTACCACCTCGGATGATACTTAAGCACAAACTCATAAATCTGCTAATGAAGTTGCATTACAACTGCCAGTTACAACAAGTCTACGCATGTGTTGCTGTAACCTGGCTAACCTGATTCAGAAGGTGTCCACTCTCCTCTGTAAAGACATACATGGATTAAGTCACATGTGCTTCTTTTTCAAAGTGTGTGGCATAAAAACTCTACAAATACTCATTTTTACCACATTCAGACAAATTAAAACAGGTTGTTACCAAAATAAATAACCAGTGGACATAAAATCTCCCATATTCCACACCATAATGTTGGTGGTGCACTATCACTCAGGTTGAAATATGTCACAAATGGCCCATTAGCCTCTTTCAAAACAACTGTAAGGACATATTGCACCATAGATCAGATACACAGGACTCAAAAAAGCAAGATGCCAACAGACATGTGACCGCTGGAGCGTCTTTATTGATCGCTGATAACGAGGGAATTCTCGGGTCAGAAGAATTGATTTGCCCTTTACAAAGTTGATGTGGAGTGAGTGGCCTGACAGAGGCCGTCCACTCTCATCCACTTCCCTCCCTCCCACGACTCATCTTTTTTAGTCCTGCTGCATGTACTTGAAAACTGCATGCCGTGTAAACTAAAGTGAAGATCACGGTGTGAATGAGCCGTTAAACTAGAGACTCAGATACACCGCCTCTCTCATCCCATCAAATACTTCAGTGTTCTCAAAGCTGTCAGCGCCGCCAAATCACACAGAAGGTGACCTTTGGATTCGGTGCTGTGATGCATCGAGTTCAGGCAACAACGTGATGGATTCTTACTGCCAACACGTGAAATACGAACACTTGTAAAGCACTCTTTGTTTGACCGATGTGTTTCAGTCTTTGGCAGGGACCCTGGTGAATGGCTACCACCCGAAACATGCAAGTCTACCAGTAAAGTTTCTCTACATACAAGTGTTGCTGGAGGTCAATCTTTTTGGTCTTCCCCGTGCACCCTGGAAATAGGTAAAGTTTTACCAGCAATCAAACCAAATTGAAAACTGTGTTTTCTGTGTAAACCTAATCAAAGATTCTTTTCAGTGCAGCATCGGTCACTGCATGAAGTGTAACGTCATCAAACCTCCTATAAGCACTGATCCTCATGCTCTGGCACGCTAGACTCGCTGCAGTCTTCTCCTTAATGGGAAAAGAAAATCACAGCTGTGGCACTGAAATAGAAGTTGAAACAGGAAATGGCATACTTCCAGTAACTTTCTGTTGGCACTGCCAAAGCACCTTTCACAGGATTCATACTGCTGTGTTAAATCTACCCCGAAGATCCCTGCAAATCCCTTTGAAACCTGAAAGCATAATCTACCATATATAACACCTGTTTCAATCCGGGGACCAGGAGGCATACAGTGCTGCCAGGGCCAACCTGAGAAGAGGCATCAAGACTGCCAAGCAGCGGCACAGGAGGCGTATCGAGGCCAGGTTTGAGAACAACACAAACCCAAGGCAGGTCTGGGAGGGCATCAGGGCTATCACGGACTACAAAAGAAGAACACCATCACCCTCAGCCGACAGTTCTACTCTGGCTGAGGATCTAAATCTCTTTTATGCCCGTTTTGATAGGGAGAACACCGACCCTGTCCTGTCCCCTCTCCCCTCAACCGATCCTGCTCCAGTCCTGAGCACTCATGAGCTGAGGCGTGTGTTCCGGAGCATTAACACCAGGAAGGCGGCCGGGCCAGATGGAGTGCTGGGCCGGGTGCTAAAAGACTGTGCTGCGGACCTGGCGGACGTCTTCACCTCTATATATAACACCTCGTTGTCCTGTTCACTGGTACCATCCTGTTTCAAAGCAGCAACCATCGTTCCCATCCCAAAACAGTCAAATGTCACATGTCTGAACGATTTCAGACCTGTGGCACTCACCCCCATTCCCGCCAAATGCCTGGAGAGACTGGTCATTAAACACATCAGAGCTGCTTTTCCACCATCCCTGGACTCGCACCAGTTTGCATACAGGGAGAACCGGTCAACCGAGGATGCGATCGCCACAGTGCTGCACACATTACTGAAGCACTTGGAACACAGGAACACCTATGCACGGCTCCTCTTTGTAGACTACAGCTCGGCTTTTAATACCATCCGGCCATACAAACTCCGTCCCAAACTCCACCAACTGGGACTTAACTCCTCTCTGTGCAACTGGATTGTGGACTTCCTCACTAACCGTAGACAGAGTGTCAGAGTGGGTAAGAACACCTCTTCCACCCTTGTGGTCAACACCGGTGCCCCTCAGGGGTGTGTCCTGAGCCCTCTGCTATACACTCTCTTCACCCATGACTGTATTTCCTCCTGCGCGTCCAATCTCATTGTTAAGTTTGCAGATGACACTACAGTGCTCGGACTTATATCCAACAACGATGAGACAAACTATAGGACAGAGGTGCAACAACTAGAGTCATGGTGCCACGACAATAACTTGGTCTTAAACACCAAAAAGACCAAGGAGATCATTGTAGATTTCCGGAAGAAGGGTCATAACAACCATCTGCCTCTCTTCATTGGCAGTGAGGCGGTGGAGAGGGTGAGCAGTTTTAAATTCTTGGGGGTAACTGTGACCGAGGACCTGTCCTGGGGCAACCATATCACCTCAGTTGCACGGAAGGCCCAACAGCGCCTCTACTACCTGAGGAGACTGCGGAGCGCACACATTCCCAGATCTCTGATGTTGAACTTCTACAACTGTGCCATCAGCAGCGTTCTGACGTATGGATTTCTAGTGTGGTTCCCCAGCTGCACCAAGGCCGATCAGCAAGCACTCCAGCGGGTGGTGAAAGAAGCTGGCAGAATTATTGGAACAAGTCTGCCAGAGATCAGTAATATCTTCCCCACTCGCTGTCTGAGGAGGGTGCACAGTATCCTGCGGGACCAACATCACCCTGCGCGCCACCTTTTCCATCTGCTGCCCTCAGGGAGAAGGTACAGGTCTATACAGGCCAGAACATCCAGACTGGCCAACAGCCTGTATCCACAGGCTGTGAGGCTCCTGAACTCTCTGCCCCCCTCTCACGGACAATAACCATATCCAACTTCTTAATAGCAATGAACTGGTCTGCATTGGTGCATCATATCTTTATTCTCTTCCCCCTCCTGCCCCCCCCCTTTCTTAAATAGATAACTATCATATCTGATATCATATCTCACAGTACAATAATATTGAATGGGTTGCATTGTTGTATTTTGTCATGTTTCTCAGGTCTTTGTCTGAATTTCTACGAACATTATTGCTAAGGATTGTCTTATTGCACTGGAGTCACACTGGGTTAAATATGTACACTTGGGTTTTAAGGGGTATTTATTATTTTCTTCTTTTTTTTTGGGTTGTATGGAAGCCCCAAACGCAATTTCATTGTTCTTGACAATGACAATAAATAAATACTACTACTACTACCCCATAACCTGATGTGCTCCTCCCTGTAACCACATGTCACATCATCACACCCTTTAGCCACGTCCACACTAATACGTTTTCATTTGAAAACGCATCTTTTTCTCTCCGTTTTGGCCTCCCGTCCACACTGAGACGGCATTTTTGTTCAAGGAAAACAGAGCTTTTTGAAAACGCTCTCCAAAGCAGATACATTTGAAAACGCCGTTTTCGTGTCACAGTGTGGACCGTGTAAACGGAGCTTTTTGGAGCTGTGACCAATTAAACTAAGATAGCAGAGGGCATTATACAGCAGCTG